GAGAAGAATAGGAGACTCTGGGAACAGATAGGGGTTAGGAAGTGTAGGAAAGAGAGTAAATGGGAGGTGGAAGAATATTCAAGAAAATGTTGCCTTTTCCTTGAGTTGTTTAAAGGCCTCATGATTAGGTGAATGATAGAATTTAGTTAAAAATCCTTCATTTTTTAAATTTAATGTGTATTGCTTGATGCAAGGTTTTGAAAAATATAGACACTGATTTAAATGTCAGATTTGAAATAGTATTCTATCTTTACCTGAGAATCTATAAGAGTTTGGGGTTATAATAACAAAAAGCTTTATCTTCTACATCATTTTAAATGTTTTGTCGTGATCACCATGATTATTTCCAATTTCAGTTTCAGCATATCAGCTGTCACTTGCAATGGCTTCTAGTACAGCATTCACTGCTTCCTCACAGTTCTTATTCCCTGCTATATCTAGGTGCACTTTCTATGTATGAAGTAAAAACCTGCTTATTGTCTACTGCTTCTGTTATGTCCATTTTCATTTCTGTCTTTGGTCATGTTGCTCTTATTTGACATGTGTTACTGAATGCCATCACATCTCCTTCCTTTTCTTCCAAACACAGCAGGAAAGGACAGTGACAGCAAGGAGAGACTCTGCAGGCCTGTGCCCCGAGCCAGAGCAGTCAGGCAGCTGAGAGGGACCCTTCCTGAGAGCTTGGAGCAGTCAAGCTAATTCAGTAGCAGGAGATTTGGGGTATGGTTCTTTGGTCACACATGAACCAACAACGGGAAATCTTTCAAACTCCCAAATACAACATCAGGTGGACCTTTGGCTCAGCGTCACTTAGAAATGATGGATTCATTTACGTGCAATCTGAAAAGAACGGGAGCAAGAGGTCTGCATAGCAAGAAACTTAGGCTCTTCGTGTTGGTTCTGTAATTAAAGCACAAAACAGCCTCTGCCAAATCATTTAACTGCTCTGGGGCTTCCACATTTCTGCTCTTTGGCAGGTATTATCTCTTCTGTTTGGAATCCCCTGACCTCTTTGACAGGCCAACTTTTACTCTGCAGCCACTCTCAGCTCAAGATCATTTTTTCTGTGAAACATCCCCTGACTTCCCCCGCCCACGCGTGAGCTGCAGTAGGTGCGACTTCCTGTACTCCTGGGACCACGTGACTGTCTTTCTCCTGCTCGACTGTCTTCCCCTGCCCCTTACTTTGCAAACTGAGCTCCCAGAAGACTAAGACAGGATTTCCTCTCGTTTTGAAAGTTCAGGGCCTGGCATGTGGTTTGACAGGTAGGACATATTTGCTTGATATATGTTTGTGGAACTTACGGAATAAAATTTATGTCATTGTATTACTTTTTATGTCTAAAGAGGCAAGCTTGGTAGTTTTTAATCTTTTAAAAAAGAAAGATCCAGTTTTTTTTTCTCTCAGTTAAAAATTTAACCAAAGGAATGATATGCTATGGAAAAAAAAGAAGAAAGCGTTTTATTTGAAGAGTGGGATTCAGACACCTGTCTTAGCACCCAGTAGCCAGAGGTGGAGCAGCACATTTAAATGAATGTTGTCCAGAAACAGGTCTGCTAACTTCCTCTGTAGCTCCCAAAATGTCATCCTGTGAAATTTACTCTTTAAAATAGCAGCATTTAAAAAATGTGAACACTTTTGAAGGAATTTTGCCTAAACTGTAAAAATACTGACCTAATTCTCTAAAAAATAGAATATATTCCCAGTCGTCACATAAGCAACTCTTTCATTAATGACGCAGGTCTTCATTAGGAACACCACGTTGACTCTTTCACTGCGCTGAATTCACAGAGGTGCAGTTATGACATGTTTATTTCCCTGTATCTTTCTTGTCTGTCAGCCATCATTTCTCCTGCTGTCATTTTTTACTGACGTAATAACTCCCTTAGCTGATCTCTTCTTCTCACAATCCCTGTACCCCAAATTCTCTTCTAATATACTGTGAAGAAAAAAATAGAGAATAACATTTGTTTTGTGGTGTGTATTCACAAAAGAAGAAGTAAGATTTGAGAAAGACAGTAGCTTTTGTGTTGGTACTTGCTGAAGGTCATGAGAGTTATTTGAGATACTTAGATGGTTGGGATAATTTTCTGGTTTCTAGCTCCTGGGTTTGGCGATTGCTAAAATGATATTTCTACATAAATGGGGTGTATATATTCTCTAGAAAAACTATCCTTGGTATAATCTGGGAATGACTGCATGAATTTACCCTAAGTGACTTAAATACATTTAAGTCAACTCATAAAATATTTGCCTGTGAGCCCCTAATGTATGTTTACTTATAAATTATACAAAAGTACACTCGTGCTAAAATGCCATATACCCTATAGTACATACTCAACAATTTGAATTAACATCAATAGCATAAAAACATACATAAATGCTGATTGTAATATTTTCTGCTCATATTCCCTGAACTTCACACTCAATTACACATCCTACTTGTAAACTTATACTTTAGACATCTATGTTAGGATATTAACTTTGCCTTTACCTAGGCAGATAAGCTTCTGTCATAGTGAAAACTACTTTAGCTGCTTTTTCAAGACATTAAATCAAATTTCTTTATCTCCAAGGCTGAATGTGTAGCCTAACATATAGGAGGTGTACAATAAGTGATAAAAGTGTTTAATTAATGATAAAGATTAATCCATAAGATGCTTCATAAACTTTTAATTTTTTTTTATATATGTCTAATCTCTTACACAATGTCTTCATATTTTATTACATCACCATTTCTACTATATCGCTAGTTGGGAGTGGTTGTAAGACATGCTGGAATGTGAGGTAGGGACTATGGATCTAGAGCTAGTAGGGCTAAATCTCCCCTGAAAGGCTGGTCCCCATGACAGATACCTACCCACCTCAATTACTATAGTAGGAGAAATGGTAAAATGTGGGTTAATATGGAACATTCAGTGGCATCTGGGATAGCAGGTGAGGAACTGGTGGTAGTGGCCCCTGAATAATGATGAATCTTTTATCTAGACAGATAATAGTACGACACTAGGAACAGTGTGGAGAAAGGGAGAAACCAGCAGAGACACATTTGAATTGAATTTCAGGGAACAGCTGTGTCTTAGGCCCTTTACTTTTACTCTACACATCTACTTTGGGAACTCTTTTATAACCTCCAAGCTAGTAAAGTACCACAGTAAGCCTGTACTCCAGACACACACACTGAGTGGCCTACGGGGCAATTCCACTAGCTGTCCTGCAGGCACTACTGTATACCACTATTTACATGTTGTATGCAAGAGCTTTCTCTCAAACTTGCAGGATCATTCTTGGTCTCATTGAACTTTCAAGTTCCAACCTCGGTGCATTGAAATCATTTTACACATTACAACAGATCAACTTCTATAAGCAAAATTTGGATAATATATCCTGCCTCCTATATTCTGAATCTTTGTGTGCTCCCAAACTCATATGCTGAATCCTAATCCTCCAGGTGATAGAATTAGAAAGTGGGGTCTGGGAAGGTAATTAAGTCCCCGAAGGCAGAGAACAGAGAAAAAAAAGCAAGCTCTCTTATGTCTTTTGATAAGGGCCCTGGTCTCATGATTTAATTACCTCTCAAAGGCCCCACCTCCTGATATTAACATAAGGGATTTGAGAGTTCAATTTAGGAATTTTAGAGGCCATGACACTGAGTGACAAAATGAGATGTGATTACTGGACGGCTCCTCATGAACCAAGGTTGATCAGTTAGACCCAGGTATATGCAGCAAGGGTGGGCTAAGAGAAAATTTGGGGAACTCTCAGGGGCCAACAGGCAGTTTCATGGGATTCTGATCACCTCACGGTCTCTAGGAGACCTGAGTTTGCCTACAGAAGCAGGATAGCTTGAAGTCAGACAAACCTGAGCTCTAACACTAGCAATGTAATCTTAGCATTTCACTTCCAGAGCTAATGTAAGAATTCATTGATACAGTTTGCAGAAAGTGTATAGTATGATTACCTATTTTAATGTACCCTTGTGCTATAGTCACATAGCCATGCTCAACTTTACCCATAGAAATGGAGTTCTATCAATGATACATCTAGAAAAAAGGTCAATCATGTGTACATTTTTTTCGGTTTTGTTTACATTATTATAATTTCTTTCTTTTCCTAGAGTCAACAAATAAATCTGTTTAGTCTTTCTTCAACTGAATTCTGCATTTTGTTCACAATGAAAGAACGGCATTAGTTGGATATATTGTTAAAGTACTTTTTACCTGCAAATTACTTTAAACTAGTTATTTTTGGCTCATCAGATTAAGTAACAATCAAATGTCTAATTTATAAAGGAAGACTTGATCTGCTTTTAACTTTGGACAACAAGTCACCTCCTCACAGATGGCTTTGGCCCGATGAGGCACGCACTCTTCCAAGAGGTCAGACTGGGACCACCGGAGCAGCCCGGGCCTCCTCCGGGGTCAACTGCTGCCCTGGATTCCTCTAGTGGACTCAGGCAAGTGCAACTGGTTCTACCTGATGGGGATCCTGTTTGACCGACCTAAAGAGCTTAAAAATAAAAAGAGATGAAGAGATTTAACGCTGAACTGGGGGCCAAAGTTACCGAAGCACAACGGGAAAGTTAGACACTGCAGTACTTTTTTGTTTCTCCTCCTCCACCTTAAAAGGTCTTTAGCTTCCTCGGGGCGTTCCCATAGCTTCCTCCAGTTGCCTGGGGGGTGGGGGGCGGGGTGCAGCCTCTGAACCAGGAGTTGGGGCAACTTTCTGGCTGGTTGGGGGTGGCCTGGACAGCCCCGGTATACACATCGCTGGCCTGGGGAGCCTTTGCCAGCCTTGTTCGGCTTTGGCCTCCTGACCCAGACAGCTCTAGGCGCGAGGGAGCGAGCGGGCAAACCCAGGCCTCGCCGCCCCCAGCATCGGGCGGGCTGCCAAGAGTTCGAGCCTCCCGGATGTGATGAAAAGGAGCCACCGAGGGAGAGGTGTCTGAAGATTGTAGCAGTGGTGGAAGCCAGTGGGGAAGAGAGTTAGTGGGGGTCAAAAGTCCCGGAGGGGAGCCGGCCAGAGTGTGCTGGCTGGAAAGGGGGCGGAGTGCGCGCAGTCAGAGCTGCCGTCGCCGCCGCAGTCTGGGCTGAGCCACAGGAGGCGGGAGGGAAGCGCAGGGGCGGCCGCGGCGTCGCCAGGCCACCGGGGCGATGCGGGAGCCGCGCTGAGGGCGCGGGCGGCGGCGGAGCGGGAGCGACCCGGCCTGCGGAGGTAGGTGGTGGTCTCGGGGGGCCCCTCCCCAAGCTGGGTCCCTTGGCCGAGCCCCCGCCCCACTTGGGTCCCTCCCACCCCCCGGATCCCGCCGCTGTCACTCGCGCTCCAACAGTTTTCCTCGCTGGTTCAAATCAAAACTTCCCTGGGGTGGAGTTCGGGGGAAGGGAAGCGGGGGCGGAGGGACTGTCCCGCAGGGCTGGTGAGCTCTTCTCTAAAATTCTCCCTCCCCCTGCCCCCCCAGCAGCAGCGAGTGCCCTGCGCCCAGCACCTCCGCGCCCTGCTCCGTGTGCCCGGCGAGGCGGCGGCGCAGCCCATGTCCGGCGCGGGTGAAGCCCTGGCTCCCGGGCCCGTGGGGCCACAGCGCGCGGCCGAGGCGGCGGGCGGAGGCCGGCGGGGCTCCCCGGCCCAGGGTGAGTGCGCGCTCCCGAGGGGCGAGCTCCTCTGCCGCTGCGGCAAACGTGTCGCCCGGTACTGGCAGGAGGTGGGGACGAGGGGGAGGTTGGTGCTCCGGGCACGGATTCCCGCCTCTTCGTCGGGAACTTTTGCATAGTTCGCGCTACTCGAGCAAGTTCGCCCGGGATTCCTGCCCTAGATCAACAGCCAGATAGGAGGGCGGGATCGGCTGGTCCCTCCACTCCGCCTTCTTTTGGTTGGGGAGAAACTGGGTGACAGGAAGGCTTCTTCCTTAAGCGTGTGGTTTTCTGGGCCTCACATTTAGACGTGTGTGTTCCGAACATTTCTTTAGGCCTCTTCAGTGCTTATGTCCTCTTCAGATCCTGCCTTGCTGCCTCTCAGCAAGCGCGCTCTCTCCTTTCTATCTTTCTGTTCCTTAGGGCTCCTCTGCAACCAGGCTGATAATCCAGGTTTCTGTGACCAATTACTTTGGAATGGCTCATGCATATGTTTTCAATGACTATTTTGTTTTGAAATAAACATGTTTTAAAAGAAATGCTTTCCAAGAATGAATTAACTACTTTATGTTCTTCCAAAGGGAAAATGTTCCTGTTACTGAAAAACTTCCATAACAAGCTTTTAACAAAGCTAGTGTCTCTTGAAGGTAATATACATCGGGATTCCGTTGGTGACAGAGCAAGGGCTATGCACTTCCCTGACATAGTCTTCTAAGGATGGTTCTGAGCTAAAGAGTTCTGACACTGATATGCATTAGATAATTTTCCAGGCCTCAAATATACCACCATATATACTTGATTGTAAGCATATCTGATAGCTCTCTTCTCCCCCCACAATAATGTAATGAACTACTTGGAATTTTTTAAAGGCAAGAAATGAAAAAAAAAAAATGAAGTTAATATTCAAGCCCCAGTAGATAAAAGCAGAAAACATCCGTGGTTAAATTAAAATGTTCTGGCATCCAGGGCTGTTAAATTGAAATACGTTTATCATTTTCTTTGAAAGAGTGACTCATTTTTTGCTAAACATAGAGAATAAAAATGGTTAGCTGCAGAAAAGCAGAGAACTAGAATGATAAACATATGTTTTCCCAGAAGCAGCCCATGTTCTACACATTGCATTGTCAACACAATCATTTTCCTGTCATTAGGCATGCCCTCAGTAGTCATATCGACTCATTGATGGGCTGTTTGTGCTCCCACTTGAGCTGTTAATCACTATTGTTAAACAATGCTTATGTCAAAAATTAACATCAGACACCCAAGGAAAACAATTTGATTTTAAATAGGTAATATGTACAATAGCCAACTTAAATGATATGCGTTTTTAAAATCAGCTGGAAGAACTTGCGGTGGTACTTCATGCCCCTGTGCTACGCTAAGCCTTCTGGCATCACGTGATCTGACTTTAAGAAGCAGAGCATCCACCAGGGTCTGAAGGAGAACGCTTTCTGCTTACATCACTTGCCTTCTCAGCGTGGAAACTCTTCAGCTGTATTGCTCCTGGAAATTAGCTACAGCATTAGTTTAACTTTGACTCAAAACTTTCTTTAAATAGAGATCAATTTAATTATAGGTCTAATATAAAATTGATTGTTTTTTTAAATCTTCATATCTCATTAAAATATTGTTTCAAGCAGGTAGATTTCATAAGGTGTAATTAAAGGGGAAAAATTTGGAGTGAGTAGGAGAAAGGTTCAGGGTGTAGTTTCCCAGGAACAGGTTGGTTTTGTCAATAAAGATGTTTGCGAAGAAGCTTTTCTTGAAAGCCATTTTATTTTTGGGCCCCTCTTTGAGTTCTTTTACCTCTGTCTTTGGATTCTTTATCAGTTTTTCTGAAGGACAGTTTAATAATGCTGTTGTAGAAAGTCACTGCTTAATTAATTGAAATGTAACTTTAAAATTCTATACATTAAAGTCAATGAGAAAAGCAATGTTTTAGGAAACTTAAAAGAAAAGATTTCATAAACAATAAGGTTATAAAGAAGTTTCCCCCTACAAAGTCAAACATATATGCACAGTAAATGCATAAAGATATATAACCCATACATATATTAGTATGTTACACTGAGCTATCCATACTTTAAACCAAGGCATGGGACTTGAAAATTGGAAGTGATTTTAGGAATCCTCTAGCTTGAATTCTCCATCAAATTTAGGATTCCATTTGTATCATTTTAGGTGGTGTTTGAAAACCTGTAGTCTACATTTTAGCTCTAAGGATTAAGTTTAGCATTAAGGTTTTCCTTGCAAAGAGTATAGCTCTGCTTTCTCAAAGTCTTACCTTTTTTATCATGGTTCTGCAAGCTTTAGTATTGGAAAGCAGTGCAGAACATGAAACATCTTTCCTGTGTGTTCCAGAAATTGTTATAGAGTAAGGACGTAAGCTCATATGTGCTAGGCTGTAAGAGGGAACCAGGGCGGATGTCAGAAAAGAGGGGGAACTAGGATGTCAGAGAACTGGGGAACTCAAAGGGCAAAAGGCTGTAGCTAATTACTGTAATGTGGGTTATCTTCTAATATTTCAAGATACACTGGAAATCTGAATTTTTATTTATCATCTCTCCGTTTTTAAGGGTTGGCAAATAGTTAAGTATAATTTTTGTCCAGGCTAAACTAAACTCACACAACTGCTGGCTGGATGTGCCTCTGAGCAGCTGATTTTTTATCTTTGGTATTGAAAATAGAAAACAAACATGTAATTACAAACTATTTTGCTATTTATGACTAACTGCTGAAATACTGAGTTACATTCCTGTGTGAATCCCCATTCAAGTGCCTTGAAGGAGAAATTGGGAAAAGACAATTTTAGTTTTAAGAGAGAATAGGGTCTTTTCATTTGTGGTCCTTCCAACTGTTTCTTTTAATTGAGCATTTTAAACTTTATTGTGTCTTCAGGCAGTATTGAAAATCTAGGTGTTTGTTCTTTTTCTTCTTTTGGTACCAGGGATCGAACTTGGGACCTTATGCTTTTTGAGGCAGGCAGAGGAACCATTGAGCTAAATCCCCAGCCCAATATTTGATGTAATAGTTTCAAGAATACATATATTCAAAAGCCTTTTAATTAAGTGCTTCATTCATAAGTTTGTAACATATAACTAGAGGGATCTTTAGAAATAATCTAACCTGTTCATGTTTTAGAGGCGGGAAAAGACTCCCAATGAATTTAAGGGACTTGCCCAAAGACCCACAGAGTCAGTAGCGAGAAATCAGGCAGAAGCACAAATTATACAATATATGTCATAATAAATGTGGTTGTAGGAAAGAATCAATACAACTTTTACATAGGTGGTAGATGCACTGAAGTTAATAGGCTTTGGATACTGTGAATCACTTGAGCCTGTTTCTGTCCCAGCCCCCACCCCATTGCATTTGCCAAGATGTAGACAGTTGGACTCTGAGTGCTGGAATATACTTTAATGTGATAATGTGTGATTTAATGCACTCTTCTCTCTTGGGAGAGTCCTCTGAGACTATTAGGCGGACTTTTCATAGCAGGATGCAAAATGCCAGTGAAGTTAATTAAAAATAATCTAAAATAGAAGCCAGGGAGAGGGAGGATCTTCAAGTTGAAATTACATAAGAAGAGCTTTGACTTAGAAGCTTAGCTGGGTTGTCAGGAGTTTACAGGGGCTAATCAGATTTCCTTTTGAGGAAAACTGTTTATTTCAATTTAGGTACTGTGCCTGTACATAGAGTATCTGTATTCTATTTTTATCATGTTTTTAATCTTTTTAAGGGTAACATTTCTCAGAATGTGTCATCTTTTGACAGCTTCTGTCCCTGGTTCTCAACTGGGGTTGACTTGGGCCTCCAGGAGACATTTGGCTCTACCTGGAGACATGTTTGACCATCCTCACCGGAGGCAGGGTATGTAATGTAGCATCTAGTGACAGGATCCAGAGACACCGCTTACCATCCTGCAGTGTACAGGATAGGGCAGGTCTGCCACAAGTCTGGTCCAAACTGCAGAGGGCTGAGATCGCCAACCCCTGCTTTCCTTTTGTCCCAGAAGCCAGTGACATTTTAACTTCACCGCAGACATATAGAATTACAGGCTCTGGGTATAAGACCAAAAAAGGTGCTCAAAATGTTCCTACATTTTATTTGAGAGCCATTAAATCAGAGGCTTTTATTTGTAAAATGACGTGTTAAATTAAGGCTTTCAAGAACAGACAGTTTTTTTTTTCTTTTTTGGAGAAGTTTTCAGCTCTAAAACAAAGCATGGGATGGTAAATAAATAAGATTTCAGTGCTGTCTTTTACCACCTAAGTAGATATTCTTGTTCTGCTATCCTACACTTCTCTTTGGAGACCTCAGCCAAGAACACAGCAAAGAAAGCAGTCCTCAATTTTTAGATGAGTTGTGTTCATTTGTAAGTTGGACTTTTGGAAGCTAAATCATGCTTTCTTATAAACACAGTAGTAAATTATATTTAGTTCCATAATAAATCTCAAAAGATTGTGGGGATTAAATTTTATTAAGTTTTTTATTCTTATAATGATAAATCCCAGAGAACATACTAGTGCAATACTGGTGGCCACATCTAAATAAGGACAAGTTTAAACTGAATGGAAATTGGTTGAAACTGATTGAGGAAGGGCAGGCTTAATTAGCAAAATAGAGGAAGACTTCTCTGGATTTGGAAGAGGATTTGGAGGCATTTTCAAGGACCTTAAAACTTGCAGACTTAATTTTTTACGTGTAAAGGAACTAATGTTCATTTTACAAGTTTAGTTCTAGATGTGTAAGGCATATTCATTGGGCACGTTTATTTTCCATTTGCTTACAAAAAGAATCAGATGAACAAGAGAAGCATGAAACCAGGCAAAAACCTAAGAAAGGATGGAGGGCAATAGGAGAAATTTAGGAAGAAGGAAAAAGAAAAGGAGGAAGGGAGGGAGGGAGGGGAGGGGGAGGGTAAAGAAAAAGTTAAAGAAAAGCACATCTGTAAATTTAAGAAGCATTTGAAGAGGTTGAACTGTTTGAGCTGAAAACTG